AGCTGTTAAGTAGTCTAGAGGTACAAAAACGAAGGTGGGGGTTCGTTTCTTGCAAGTCTCTGATTTTTCCTCTCCATTAATTACGCTTGGGGACCAAAGACGTTCCTTTCCCATGGGAATAGCTGTGGGTTTATAGCACAGCTGTAAAGTGAGACTGCTTCCTTCCCATTGGAAGGGGGGCGTTCACAGTCTCATTCTGACCAGAGTGAAAATTGGACTCGCTCATTTTGTTTTTCTTATCATCAGAAACACCCTAATCACACAGGTTACTTTTGTAACCTGCAGTATTCAAGATCTTAGACACAAAACTAAATAAAGCCCCCTTGCTTTTACAGACCCGCAGAGCGGCTGGCGGCTCAGTGATAAAGCCTACTGGGTCAGCTTGCAGGAATTCTCTCCCAGTGCCAGAGTTGTGTCACCAGAGTAGCTCGTTGTCTTTTGCAGAGCAAGAGCTGGCTTGGAAATGCAGACTCTCAGCGATGTAAAGAAAATGGAAGTCCCCATTCCATGATTTTAATTAATTTCCAGAGTGCAGGGCTCCCTACTAGTTAGGATGCTAACTTGAAAAGATTGAAGGAAGTGTGGCCGAGTGCCAAGGGGTGGGGGGGAGAGGGGAGGAGTTGCTGCTGATTTGAACTGCATTCTTGGAAGAAGAGTTTGAGCAAAACCATGAAGGTAAAATCGTATAGGATGTGATGTGGTGGGGTAAAAGAGAGCCAGCCAGGACAGGCCAGGGGGCAAGTCAAACTGCCAGCATGGGGTGTGGAGGAGCAGTAGGTGTCTGTATAGTGTGAACCGGTACCAGGTTTCAGAAGTGAAGACTACGATCGGCTGAGCCTCAGGAAGGGGGCTGGTGGTTATGTGCCGGCGGCGGCGGTGGCACAGCACAATGGCGTCAGAACTGAGATCTGGGCTGTGGGGCCTAATCCCTAGGGGCCTGACCTTCACTGCTAATACGTGGTTAAATGGGGAGGAGAGCTATTGTGGTAGGATTGAATGGGATCTGGGCACTGATGGTTTAGATAATGTAAACACTTGGTGGCTAGCGTAAGCAATATGCGCACACTTACGCTCACAGTCAGCTGGAGAATGAGGGCTGAGAAAACCAGGCTCCAGGGAAAAGAAAAGGAGAGCGGGGAGCTGGGTGCTAGCCAGAAAAGGGGTAGGAGGGGAAATCCACCGAGAGGGTGCGAGACAGCACGGTGATGTAAATGAAGGGAGGCAGCACCGGAGGTGGTAGGGCAGCCTGGAAATTGCTGAGTGACGGGAGCTTTGGAAATGTTAAATTTGAAAAAAGAGGGAAAGCTGGGTGTGGTGCTGTGTGCCTGTAATCCCGGCTCTCTAAGCATTCCCGTAGAGGCTGAGGCCCGAGGATCACAAATGTGGAGAGCAGCCTAAGCTACACAGTGAGACAAGGAAGGAAGGAAGGAAGGAAGGAAGGAAGGAAGGAAGGAAGGAAGGAAGGAAGGAAGGAAGGAAGGAAGGAAGGAAGGAAGGAAGGAAGGAAGGAAGGAAGGAAGGAAGGAAGGGAGGGAAGGAGGGAGGGAGGAAGGGAGGGAGGGAGGGAGGGAGGGAGGGAGGCTAGAAAGGAGGGAGGAAGGGAGGAAGGGAGGGAAGGAGAAAGGGAGGGAGGGAAGGAGGGAGGAAAGAAGGAAGAGAATGTAAGTGAGAACTCAGGCATGGAACCAGGTATGCTCCAAGAATTAGGAGTTTAATCACTGTTTGAACTGCAAAAACTAAGATGTTTGGGGATATATTTGGTCTAAGATGTTTGGAGATGTATTTTGGTGATGTTTATGCCTCCATGAGAAAATTCAGTGACGTTGTAAAGTAGTTAAAGCTAAGAGCTGCAGCCCCACGTATAAACCAACATAGAGTCCCATTAGGAATTGCTGTTTTAGTAGCCAGAACCAGAAGAATCCAGCTTCCAGAAAGGAAGGTCACGTTTGCATACAGTATGCATCTTTGCCTCCTTTGTCTCTGGAGAGGTGCTGCCCTAACTCAGGCTTCAGGAGATTCTTATTGGCTATGACAGCAATCTATAATTTAAATGTAGTGTAATCAAGACTACCTACATTTCATTCCACTTCTTTGTCTCTTCAAGAATTTTTTGGTGTTTTTTTTTTTTTTTTGACTGGTTCCCAACTGTCATCCCAGCAACTAGATGGCTGAGATCTGAGGATTACAGTTCAAAGCTCAAGCATGAAGTCTGTAAGACTGTTATTTCCAATTAATCTCCAAAAAAGCTGAAAATGGAGCCATGACTCAAGTGGTAGAGCACCTATCTTGAGAAAAATAAAAGTGCACAGGCCCTAAATTCAATCCCTAGTACTAGCACACAAATAATTAAAAGAAATGTGTTTTCTTTCTCTCTTGAGAACTGCACTTAAGGAAATAATCGTCAATAATGACAGTCCCCAAAATGCAAGTAAATTCACCACAACATTAGCAAAAATAAAATAAAATAAAAATAAAATGTGGGGACAGCAACTTCTATTTGTGAGAAGACATGAATGATGATGAGTCGTGTCACTAACTTTGATGGGATATTTCAGGTACAGCCAAAGGATCTGTTCTGAACACTACAAATAGTAATGCACTTAAGCCTCACAGCAGTCCTATGATACAGGGTATATACTGGCCATTATTAGACTGTTACTCCTCATGTGTTCTATTAAATAGAACCCGAGACTTGGAGAGGTGTAATTTGTTCTAGACTTGGAATTCCTATGAGGCTAGGCACTTCCAATGTGTCTTCTAACCAGTATATCACTAACCAGTCCTCACTTTATTCTGCCTGATTTTCTTTAATTAGTTTCATAACATAATTTTGAGGAAAAATGTATCTGCTTCATTCAGGGCAGGAGGAGATCAGGTGGAAAGAGGGAATGCATAGCACTGAATCAAAGTTTCATTCATGTTTCAAAATAATAATTTATAACTTCCCAAATCCTTCCATATCACTAACTTCCTCAAAATCATGCTGCAAAGTCCTCATTGTGATTTTAACCCCAATTAATAGATTGGCAACTGAAGGCCAGACAAGCTAAATGTCTTGTCCTGGGTGATGCTGCTGGTTTGTGTAATACCCAGTCCCATGTTCTTTCTACCATTCAGTGAAACTGGACAATTTCAACACAGTGTGTGACACTTCTTCAGCCTAGAGATCCCTGAGGAAACTACCAGAAACCAGAAGAAGTTCAGGAATGAGACTAGATTAGGCTGGGACAGAGGTCTCTCACTAGCTTGAAGTCCTAAGGCTACAACTAGAAAGGTCTGGATCACTCAAGAAAGGTTCCTCCAAAAGCCACCTTCTGCCTCAGGCAGAAGGTCTGGTAAAATCAGCCTTTCTCTTTCTAGTCTTTCTTCTTCCTACCCATCTTAGTCTGAACATTGAGAGGTAGCCAAGAGACCAGCCAGGATTTTGGAAATGATGGTCAGGAATGTAATGATGCTAAATTAATGGTAATAGGCTAGGTGCAATCAGAGCTTACTTACTACAAACCAGATACCAGATACCAGATACTGCCCAGGGGAATGTTTATACATTTAATTCTTCCCACAGTCCTAGGGGGAGGTAGGGACAGTTTACGATGAAGAGATAGAGGGTTAGATTGTCACCTGCTTGACCTTGACAAAATAGGGAAAGGAAGGTTAGAAATCCTCACATTTTAAGAGCCCTTGAGCCCTCAGACCTCATTCACAAGTGAGGTCATTTACTAAGTGACATTAGAGTCACACCATACATGAAGTGTTCCTTGCATGTCTTAGATTCCCAAAGGATCCAGCAAAGGTGACTGTGCTCAGTTGTGATCTAGAAACTAATTCATTCTTTCTCACCTTGCCACTTTTCTTCCTTTCCTTTCTCTCTTTTTCTTTCTCTGAAATATTTTCATTGGCTTAATTTCCAATGCTAGGATCAGATAACATTTTTTTTCCTGTTTTATAAAATAGAATCCATATTCCCATTTTCTTTCCAAATAAAAAGATTACTGACCAAGGTATGTTGTTTGCATATACGGACATGTGAAGAGGAAACCTCCTTCTTAGTTTCATTATGGTCACCTGTCAAGATGAACTTAATTGACACTAACTTACAAAAATTGGAGAGCTGGTGCTAGTGGCTCACAGCTGTAATCCTAGCTACTCAGGAGGCTGAGATCTGAGGGTCACAGATTTATTTGGCGCCTCCAAAGATCAGTGCTACTCAGAGTCTGGAAGCTGTTAAGCTAGAGGGCATCATTATCAGGTTTGTTAAGAAACACTTTATTCAGAGACTTGGCTGGGAATGAGTACTAACTAGGTGATGTGGAAATCATCTCCGGGTGTAACAGTTAACAGGAGTCGAACATTAACATGCTGGAGGCCAGGACTGCAATGGGTCATTGACTTGTGTGCTGGTTCTAATCAGAGACCACCCCTCCACCTTTAACTATTTCTACTTCAGCACCTACAACTAGTGCATTACAGGGAAAGAATTCACACATAAACACTCAATGATATGGCCAGTAAAGCAGTTAGTTAGAAGCAGTAAGTATCTGAACAGAGACAATACAACTGTTAGGTCAAATGCAGGAAGGGTGCTGCCCTCCGGGCAGCTGCAAAAGCAAGCCCCTATTAATCCCTTAACTAAGCAGCTGATGGATTTAATCTTTTTTTGTGTGTGTGCATACGTTATAACTGTAGACACAGGATCATTATAAGTTTTCTACAAATCAACACAAGCTAAGGCCGAGCTTTTTATTTCTTCACCTCACTAACATGACAGGAAAGGCTTCCGATTAGAATTCACTGTCATTCTAGTTTGAAGAATTGTAAGGAAGGTTCATTCTGAGATTCATTCACCCACAGAATAGGTCTCTATTTGAAGAGGGAAGGGATCTGAGTCCCCAGGCTGAGGATCAACTTTCTTTTGATTTTTGCATCTATTGTTATTTAAAATAACACATACTTGGAGAGAAGGTTATTTTGCATAATAATATCAGAAAAGGAATTGTTACCTGGTATAATCTCCTTTAGCTTCCTGAAATTAAAAAAAAAAGACAGATGATTACTATGCATTTATGCTAAGCTAAATCAATTATATGCATTCTTGGCTATTTTCGTCTCATAGTTTTGTATGGAAAAAAATGTGGCTATCACATTGATGAGAAAATATTAGTATCCATTAACAGAGACAAAGACATACATTTCTAAAATCTTTACATTTCTAAAATCACAAGATGAATGATTTTCCTTGCAAGGGCCACTTTTCTTTTTTCTTTCTTTCTTTTGGCTGGGTAGAGACCTTTGAAATGATGACACAAGTAAATTAACATATACTATTTGTTTTCTCTTTACTTTTTAAACCAGTACAGAAATAGACTTTGCTTTTCCACTACTAGTGCTTTTCAAAATTAAAGGGCTTTTTTTTGTACACCCTCAAGAAAATGTACACAAAAGTTACTAAATTTAAATGAAAATTACAGCTGTTCTAACAACTGCTGCCTTCCAAATTCAAGTAACTTAGAGCACTCCCTCCAAATACAGTGTGACTTCTTTTCACTTGGAGCAGTCTAAATTTTTCTTTGAGAAACAGAATATCACACCATATAGCTCCTGCAGATGACTTTAAAACAGAATTCAGTGGCTCACATTTTTCCACTGGCAAGCAACTGTAACTGTTTTATTTATTTATTTTTTTAATCTACCAGACGCTGGTCCACGCAAAAGTTTCAGAGTTGCAGGCAGTTAGTAAAAACCAAGAAATATTGAAAGGGCTAGTCAGAGCCATCGGGGCCATTCTTACCTGTAAAATGAGTGCTGCTAACTTGAAGATGGTTTCGCTGTCCACTTCGATCTGTCCCTGTTGGTGGGAAAGAAAAATATCACTGAATGCAGGGCTGCCCTAGACTGTACCAAATGGCTATCGAGTTGGGGAAGCTATCACAGCTTGGCACCTCCAGGTTAAGATCAAATGCAGACCATACCACTGCAGAGGAGAGAGGGGTGTTCAGAGAGACTCGTAAGGAGTAGGGGAAATGACACTCTGTGTGTGTGTGTGTGTGTGTGTGTGTGTGTATGTGTGTGTGTGTGTGTGTGTGTGTGTGTGTGTGTGTTATGTTAGCTGTGGAGAATTTTGTTTAGAGAATAGTACATGGGAAACACAATGACTTTGAAGCTGAAAATTCGGACAACTTCAACATGAATAATCTTTTATCTCTGGAAATTCATTTTTTAAGCTAGGCAGATTTTCCTAGATTTGTTTGTGTGGATTTCTTGTGATTTATTTTTCCCTCTGTGTCACAGCATAGTTGTTTTAGGATGTACACAATACAAATATTATTAACGCATAAATTCCCTTCTGTGTCAATGACACGCTAGTGAATTAATATTTTTTCATTCTAGATCAAATGGGAGGCCTTAAAAGTGAGTCACAATAAAAGCTTAGCAGACTGAAGTTCTAAGGCCTTTACACTGAGGTGTGATAAATTCTTGTCATATTTTCATCATCTTATCTTTTTAATCCTTCAAGATCCCAAATTAAGGGCTGGGAAGGTGGCTCAGTGGTAAAGTGCTTGCCTTGCATGCATAAGGTCCTGGGTTTGATTCCTCAGCACCACATAAACAGAAAAAGCTGGAAGCAGGCCCTGTGGCTCAAGGGGTAGAGCGCTAGCCTTGAGCTGAAGAGCTGAGGGACAGCACCCAGGCCCAGAGTTCAAGCTCCAGGACCGACCAAAAAAAAAAAAAAAAAGATACCAAATTAAAATTGGAGTTCTGGGCCTCAGTTAAGAAAGAAGATTTTTTTCAATAGTCTAGAAGGGATGTGTAGGTAGGTGTGTAAGGATATTTCCTCTATCAATAACCTACCCACCTTTGTACCATTAAATATGGTGACATATGTAAATACTGTTACTACTCCTGTAAGATTACAAATAGTGAGTTGCTAAAGAAGCTTTTTCTCTTTCTCTCTTTTTTTTTTTTTTTTGCCAGTCCTGGGGCTTAAACTCAGGGCCTGGGCAGTGTCCCTGAGCTTCTTTTTGCTCAAGGCTAGCACTCTACCACTTGAGCCACAGTGCTACTTCTGGCTTTTTCTTTTTTTGGGTCCGGTTGTGGGGCCTGAACTCTGGGCCTGGGCGCTGTCCCTCAGCTCTTCAGCTCAAGGCTAGCTCTCTACCACTTGAGCCACAGCGCCACTTCCGGCTTTTTTCTTTTTGCTTATGTGGTGCTGAGGAATCGAACCCAGGGCCTCAGGCACGCAAGGCAAGCGCTATACCACTGAGCTACCTTCCCAGCCCACTTCTGGCTTTTTCTGAGGAATTGAATCCAGGGCTTTATGCATACTAGGCAAGCATTAATGCAGAAATGATCCCACAGGAGTCTTTCCTTGACTGAGTACAGCATACCTAGGACTTGAAAGTGCATAATAGCCAGGAACTGATGGTTCACACCTATATTCCTAGCTACTGAGGAGGCTGAGATCTGAGGATCTATGTCCGAAGCCAGCACAGGCAGGAAAGTTCAGGAAACTCTATTATCTCCAATGAAGCAGCAAAAATTAAGAAGTAGAACTGTGATTCAAGTGATAGAACATCAGCCTTAAGCAAAAAAAAAAAAAAAAAAAGTTCAAGAATAATGCCCAGGCTGGGAAGGTGGCACAGTGGTAGAGCACTTGCCTTGCATGCATGAGGCCCTGGGTTCGATTCCTCAGCACCACATAAGCAAAAAGAAAAAAGCTGGAAGTGGCGCTGTGGCTCAAGTGGTAGAGCGCTAGCCTTGAGCTGAAGAGCTGAGGGACAGCGCCCAGGCCCAGAGTTCAGGCCCCACGACCGGACCCAAAAAAAAAAGAAAAAAAAGAGAGAGAAAAAGGGAGGGAAGGAGGGATGGAGGGAGAGACAGAAGGAGAGAAGAGAGAGACAGACAGATGGAAAGAAAGAGAAGGAGAGAGAGGGGGAGAGAAAAGAAATCCAAAATAACACATATTTAAATTCTAATACCGGTTGCCAATGGTATCTGCCTGGTTCACCGAGTTCAACCAAGAATAACACTATTTGTCTGCAAGTTCACTTGCTGATATTTAATTAAGCCTTAGAAAGAACTCTAGAAGTTCAGGCTTGAAGTTTCTATGTTCTTTGGAAGCTACAGACTGCCCAGGAGAGAAGATTTTTTTTTTTCTCTTACTTCCAACCATGGCAACAGATGTAACCTTATAGGTCCTGGGCAAGCTAACTCTTGATGGAGGGATCTCCTCAAAGAGAAAGGTAACCCGAGCTCCGCCAGTGGGTTTCCACGACTCTTAGGGATAAACAAAGAGAACCAGAGAAGTGAGTCAGGTGGTGTGGCTGAATGCACAAAGGTAACATGAAACAGTGTCAAGTCCCCGTGCTACACCCTCATGGCTAATGTAGCTGCACTATGAATTCACTTACTAGGTCAGTGAGTACAGGCTCCTCCCACACTTCGTTTCTCTTCTGTCCTTGCATAGTTGGCTCAGTGGACTCTCACACATGGGAAATTCTAGGTTTTGATTCTCAAATAGAAGAACTAAATAAAGTTCTAGGATCTGAAAGGAACTGTGTAACAATATGACCCCCTTGCTTTACAGATAGCTGGTAGTCTACACTGGGGAGATGAGATGCGCCATCGTCAGACATCCTGGTCCCTGCTCTGCGATGAACAGATAACCTTCTATGATTCTGGTGCACATCTCTGGCCCAGAATCTTCCAAGCAGGCAATGACTGAAAAATAATGACTAAAATGCCACCTCCACTGGTAGTGGGATAATATGTCATCAACCAACAGACACTGTCATGGGCAATGGGAGAATTATTCCTGGAGCCTCATCCTGCTCGTGCTATACTGATCCAGCACTCCATGGAAACTTACCGTCTACGATAGCAATGGATGGCAACCTGCTACAGACACTTCATCTCTAGAACTACTTGATAGACTATTGGGAGATGGCAGTATGGTTTGAATCTATCACTCCCTATTTTAGGATTAAGTTTACTAAAAAAATTAACTTGTAGACACCAACAAAATACAAGAAATGTGTAAACAAAGGAGCTGGTGGCTCATATTTGTAATCCAAGCTACTTAGGAGGCTGAGATCTGAGGAATATAGTTTGAAGCCAGGAAAGTTCACAAGACTCTTACCTACAATTGATCACCACAAAAAAAAAAAAGAAAGAAGAAGGAGGAGGAAGAAGAGGAGGAAGAGGAGGAGGAGGAGGAGGAAGAAGAGGAGAAGGAGGAGGAGAAAGAGCAGGGAAGGAAGGAAGGAAGGAAGAAAGAAAGAAAGAAAGAAAGAAAGAAAGAAAGAAAGAAAGAAAGAAAGAAAGAAAGAAAGAAAGAAAGAAGCCAGAAGTAGGGCTGTGGCTCAAGTGCTAGAACATCAGCCCTGAGAGAAGGAGCCAAGGGACAGCTGTGAATTCAACCCTGTAACAACACAAAGGAAGGAAAGAAGGAAGAAAGGAAGGAAGGAAAGAAAAAAGAAAGGAAAGAAGGAAGGGAGGAAGGAAGAAAAGGAGCAAGAGAAAGAGAGGAAGAAAGGCAGGGAGGAGTGTAAAAATTACCATTTGCATCTAGCACAGTACTAATTCAGGCAGGCAATATTCTTATTGTTGCTGTTTTTTGTGGCATTGGGAATTGAACGGAGAGCTTCATGCCTGCCAGGCAAGAGCCCTACCACTGAGCTACAAGCCCTCTCCTCAACCCTAAGCAATAATTTTCAATAAATAAAAACCACGGTGTGAAAATCTGATTAGAAACAGGGTTAGATGTTTGCATAATCAAAACGCACCTCTCTCTCCATAAATGACTTATCAATTATAAAGGGAAAAATGGTCACCTTTCACCTGACATGTACCATCTTAACCAAATAATGAGAAAGTGCCCAGGGCAGTAACTGGACGGCACAGCACTATGTGCTTTCCATGGTGGGCACCAAGAAGACACACACTCACATATATATGCTGCTGTTAGCGTATTTTATCTGTTGTATATAGTACACATATCATGGTAATATATTTCTATGACATATATATATATATATATATATATATATAATTACTGGTAAATGGAAATGTTTCACACTTGAAATCAAAGGTGGAGGGAGCTCTGATTTACAGCCTTTGGTGTAAAACACTTCCACTATGGTTATTTCAAGCTACCAGTAGAACTTCATAGAATGGAGAAGCTGGGAAGAGATGTGAGAATTGGCTGTGATAGACTGATACAGACTGTCTCCAGCACACTGCTGTGTAGAATTCCTGTGAAAAATAAATCACTCTTTCTACTCAGGAGGAACTACGAGACAAACCCAAACTGAGGGATATTCTGTGGAACATCTGTCTCATATTTTTCAAAAATGTTGGTGAAGTGAGTGCTAGTAAAGGCAATTAAAAGGTCATCATGACTAAATGCAATGTGTTATCTGGACTGAGGGGGTAGGGGGCATGACCAGAGGGCAGGGCCATTGAGTTGATATTAGGCAACAACAGCATGGATCCAGAGTTACATTTTCTGAATAGGATCACAGCAATATGGCTACACAAGGGATCTCCTTGACTTTAGACAATGTACAGCGAATTAGTTAGGGGCTTTCTTTAACTTACCCTCATGTGTTCAGAAGCAAAAATCCCATATATGAAGGGAGAGAGGAAGTGTAAATGTGACAAAATGTTAAAAAGTGATAGGTTAAGTTTGACAGACATATACTGGCATTTGTGATACTATTCTTAGCGCGCTTCCATAAATTTGACATTATCTCTAAATAAAAAGTTCATTTTAAAAATAGACCTACTTCCTTAAGTAGTGAATAATTTAGTGTGTGTGTGTGTGTTTCTGACAAGTCTCCTTCCTTT